CACCGGTCTTGGGACTCCCCCAAGAACTCTAGAATCTAGGCCTTCTCAGGCACACCGCCTTACTGTATGGTCTTGGGTACAACGGGCAACCTCTGCCTGTCTAGATTAGGGGAGATGGTTCCCCTCCGCAGCCGAGTTCCTAGGAGGTGTCTCCTTTGGGGAAGCTGAGGTACACTGACAAGGCTGTGGACAGGTGGAGGCTGACAGTGTCGTGCTCGGCCACTCAGACCACACAGGGCACCAGGGCTTAAAAGTCACAACCCACTTTAATGCTGAGTTGCTACAAGGTCTCAAGGGTGGCCCCGCCCAGTGTGTCGGCACCCCCACCCCCATGTGCAGGTCCCCGAGGGGGACAGCCGCAGCTTCCAGTCCTGTTTGCCCCTCATACCCGGTGATGTGTGGGGTGGCGCCCGGCGCCCGGCGGCCGCCTAGGACCGGTTTAGCAGTCTGTTTTGAACATCCTCCAGGACCTGCCTGAGCAGTTCCTCACGGGACTTCATGCCATCTAAATACACTGGAACCGGAAAAGGCCCGGTCAGGGCTGGCCCGTAGGTGGGGAGCGGCATGCGGACTCTCAGGGCCCGCAAGAGACTGGGGTTCGACTCCAACGGTCCCGGTTCCCCAGCGGGGGTGGGGCCTGCGGCTTACCCACTTCCACTCCGTTCTGTTCCATCTCCCGCTTATACTTCTGGTACATGGGCCACACGTGACCGTCAAAGAGGCCCGGGGGATCAGGGACCGCGTAGCTACGTTTACTGGAGACAGAAGGAAGCGTCAGGTCTGCCATGGAAGGCTGGCGCTCACAGACCCCCTGGGTCGGGGGGCCACACCCTTAGGTCAAGGCTGTGGCTGGGGACCCCCGGCCTCCGCACTTCCCACTGTTGAGCCCGAGATGTGGGGAAAGGTGGGTGTGGGCGGTGTCCAGGCCTGTGGCCCTGGGCTCCTGGGGCAGAGGCGGGGTCACTGCGAGGCCCGTGCCCCACGGACACCCCTGTTGCCCTGGCCTACCTCCTCCTCCGCTTGCACTCCTCGTATGGGACAGTCAGGAAGTAGCGATGGCTGTACATGTCCAGCAGGGGTCTGGCCGGGGACAGGGGCACGGTCAGCTGGCCTCCCTGCACACCCCACCCTCCGCGTCTCCTCAGAGCGCGGACTCGGCCCACACTGGCGCAGAGAGGGGGTCGGGGCTCGGGGTCACACAGCGGCGGTGCAGCCTGGGCGGGCGAGGGCCTTACTTGTAGCTGTACAGCAGGAAGCCGTCCAGGAGGAGAATGTGGGTGTCCGAGGCGCCGGGCTGCAGGCTGACGCCGTGAGCGCGTGCGAACTTGCGCGGGTCCCTCGCCCAGGCGCGCACGGTGCTGAGCATGGCCTCCATGTCCAGGGACTCCAGCGCTGGTGGGCAGACGGCGGGGTTCACACGGGCCCGCACCCCGGGGCGTGCTGGGGCGCACGGGGTGGGGGCCGCTTACCGTCCCATTGCTTAAAGCCGTCCTCCCCAACTGCTATTTGGTCCTGGGGCTGAAACACAGGACCCCAAGGCTTAGGCCTCCTGAGCCTGCCGAGCCCTCCTCAGCCCTCCGGGGGGCCCTGGGGCTGCCCTGCAGGGAGCCTGGGGGAGCTGGAGGTGGAGGGATCGGGTGGAGGCTGCAGACTCTACCTGCCCATCGCCTGTCACTTCGCCCTTCTGAGCCCATTGCGTAGAAAGGAAAGCAGAGGCACAAAGGGTCATGGGCCGACAAACGAAAAGCGCAGCATGCAGTAGTGCGGAAGCCATGGGCCTAGCAGGTTCCCTGGCACCGGGGATTGACTCCCTTGGGGACATGCAGGCCAGGGAGAGCGCCCTGCTCCGCGTCCCTCCAGCCCGCCCCACCTTGAAGAAGTCATCCTGGTGGATCACGCAGCAGTTGGACAGCGCCTTGTGAAGACTGCTGGTCAGGGTGCTCTTCCCGCCGTTAGTCATCCTGCAGGGAACGCGCGTGCGCAGCGTGACGGGAGGCCTCCGGCCACCGCGCCAGGGGGAGATGCCAGGGCCCTGTGACCTGAGCAGGAGCTCCCACTGGGCTGCACCAGCCTAGATGGGTGGCGTGCATGCCTGCGTGCGTGCGTGCGTGCGTGCGTGCGTGCGTGCGCGGGTGAAGACAATTTACGGGGATCAGGTCCAGGAACTGAACTTGAGCCACCAGGATTAGCAGCAATCACCTTCACCCACTGAGCCATCTTGCTGCCCAAGTAACGTATTCCTTAGTTAGCCCAACAAACTAGACTTGGTGTAAATATCTATCTACACCCGCAGCGTTGAGAAGGCAGAAAGGACATGAGTTCAAAGGCAGCCCAAGCAACTTGCCGGGTGAAGCCCTGTCTGAAACAGCAAACTGGGCGTGGTCAGGGAAAGGGCCTCTCCAGCATCCTCTGGAGGACTGGGGGCGTGGTCAAGGTGGAGCCCCTCCTAGAGTCTCCTAGTGAGGGGCTGGGGCATGGTCAGGGGTAGAAGACCCTGTCTTAGCGACACCATGGCAGTAGGTCATGGTATCGTGGCTCTTAGGGTGACTGAGGTGGACACTCAGGACACCCTCAACCATTCTGGAGACTCTGCCCTGAGTTGTTGGCCGCCTTGATGGAAGTCGTGGGGAAGGAGGGCTGTGGTTAATGGGACAGGAGGATCTTCAGTTCTGAGCCAGCCTGCGCAACCAAGTGTTACTCCGTCTTGAAATAAAAAGTAAAAAGTGCCAGTAGCCCAGTGCTGAGGGCTTGCTCTGTATGCCTGAGGGACGGATCTACCCTCTTGCTTCCAAAGTAAAATAAAACAAACCCAGGTGTTCATCTTGCTCAGTGGCATTTTGGTAGCCCTCTCCGTGCATCTGTCCCCCATCCCCACAGGCTGATCCCCAAGTTTCCAGCAGGTCTCCCCATCTCTGCCTGCTGACTTCTGAAACCACTGGCGCAGGTGCCCTGTGTGATCACAGCACTAAGCAGACTGACCCACTGCGGGCAGCAGCAGCTGCCTTCCCAGGGCCGCGGGCTGGGCCTCCCCCCCAGTCACACTCCAGGCCCCTGGGGCTCACCCTCCAATGCCCACGATGAGCTTCATGCTGGGGCTGGGCAGTGGGGACTGGTCCTGAGGTGGCCACGCAGCCCGGCTGCTTGTGGCCTGCAGTGTGCCGCTCCCGGGGTTCCGGTCTCATTGAGGAAGCTGTGGGTCTTTATAGGTTTGGGCAGCCTGGAGGCCGCCCCGAGGGAGGAGGCCCCCTAAGCACTGGGGGTGTCGGGGGAGCACCTGTTCCACAGGCTGCAAATAGCTTCAGTAGCCTTTTGCCTAAATTAGGAGCCAGAGGGCAGAGGGACAGCAGCCAACTTTCATCCTGTGTCCCTGTGCCTCCCCCCTCCCCCTCCTCCCCAGTCACACCTTTCTATCCCTAAAAATATCTACCTAAGTTTGTGTCCCCTGGCTTGACCCTGACATCAAGACTGGCTCTCACGGGGCCAAGAAAAGGGACTCCTCCTCCTCCCTGTCCTCCCTCCTCCTCCCTGTCCTCCCTCCTCCTCCTCCCTTGACCCCAGCTAGGGTGGCTTAGGCCTGTGGCTGGTGAATCACAGGACTGCTGTGCTCTGATCCCTGCAGTGTGACTGTCACTGTGATCCAACCATGTGACCAGGGCAGACTCAGGGGAGCCAGGGTGGGGCTTTGTCCGCCCTCCACTCTTGTAAAGGAGAAGAAATCCTCCTCGTCTGTGTGCAGCGCGCGCGAGGCAGGAGGTCCACGTCAGGTGTCTTCTGGCCTCTTCCTATGTAGCCCTGGCTGGCCTTAAGCTTGCTCTGTAGACCAGGCTAGCCTGCCTCTGCCTCTTGAGTGCTGGCTGGGATTAAAGGCGCGCACCACCACCTGCAGATTTACTTTCTTTTATTCTTGTGTGTATGCATGTTGTCTGTCTGGGTAACACATGTGTGCTTGGTGCACAGGAAGCAGGGGCTTGGGGTCCCCTGGAGCTGGAGTCACAGGAGCTGCGAGCCACCATGTGGGTGCTGGGAATCGAACCCAGGTCCTCCTCGAGAGCAGCCAGTGCTGTAATTACAGAGCCCCTGCCCAGGGATTTTTGAGGTGGCTCTCTGGCTGAGCTGGGGTGTCTGGCCAGTGAGCCCCAGGGACCCAGGTGCCCCCACTGCACCTCTCTTTTATGTAGTTTGGGCCATCTGAAGAGGGGTCTCCCAGCCCCTGTGGACAGCACCTTACCCACCGAGTTCCAAAACCCCAGACTCACTCACCTGTCCTGCTGGGGTTGTTCAGCTCCGTCCTCCCTGCTGGCCCCCACTGCTGAGGCTCACACTGTCCCACTGTCGCTGGGAGAGAACTCTCCCCCCAAGGACAATGTCTGGCTTTTCCCTTTGGTCCCCAGGGACCTGAGCATGTGGCTGAGATGGGAAAGACATAGGTGGCTGAACCCTAGAGCCATGGTGTGGGGAAGGAGTGAGTGTGTGAATGAATGGGTTAGGGAATGAATGAATGAATGGGTTAGGGAATGAATGAATGGGTTAGGGAATGAATGGGTGTAATGTGAATCTGCCCAGCCTTTACCCCCCTTGCTCAGCCCCTTCCTCCCTAGGGCCTGTCACCAGGAGGGACCTGGCACATCCGGGTCTCCGTACTCTGGCTGACCCCTGCCTCTGCTTGGTTTACTGGAGACAGAGTCTCCATCCAGATCCCAGGTTGGTCTGGAATTCTCTGTAATCCTCCTGCCTCAGCAGCCTCCTGGGGGCTGGGATATCAGGCATGGGTCACCACACGCAGGTCCCCATCACATCTCGCTGGTGACACTAAACATAGCTGTGTCACGTGCCTCTGGTCTCCCTGCCACTCTGTGTTCCAAGGTTCAGGCTGTGGAGCCAAAGTCCTTGGAGGTTTGATGACCCTTCCCCGTTCACCCGCCCCCCACTGGTCCCGGTCACCTGCCCCGCACTCCTCACCCCCTGCCCCTTGAAGCACACAAAGGGACCACTTCTCCCTC